CTACGTGTATTCGGCCTACGGCCCGCTACTTTATGTGTCAATCTTTTGAGGCGTACGCTTCGGATAGGGTTCCCAAAGAATAACCTGCCAGCTCACGTGGTCTTTCGAGTCGGATTTTTTGAATAAGATATATGTCTACTTATGAGTAGTTNAGTTAGGCGCAGAAAATTGACGTGCACATTCCTCTCGCCGAATTCGCGAGTGTAATTCACAGATGATGGAGGCAGGTTGCACACGCCTAGTGTCTGTTTATCATAGTGTGCCATGTTAGCAGTTGTTACTTATGGGTGGGAGAATTAGTTCGGAGCCAACGGATAGAGTGAAGACGAGATAAGGAGAATCGCACAGTGATCGTACAAAATAGATAGCTCTTAACTCTTGAGGATCCAAACTGTTCCCAAGCCGACCGATCCACTTGATTGAAGAACGTGGCAGTGAACTGATAACAATAACGTTTTTTTGTTACGATTTCTTATAAGATCTAAATGCTTGAAGCACTGTCTACATACACTTGGGCAATATAATCTATTTGTTTTTTTTATACCGATATTGTTCGTGGGCTTTTGCTTCTCATTTCGCTACTCGGTGGAGATCATGATTACTGCGCTCTGGTTGTAAATTTTCTTTCATTGGTGATCTGTGCCAGCGATTCGCATCCATTTATCCGGTGCACCATCTATCTTTTTATGCTAGGCACTGAAAGCTGTCTGCATTCACGGACCCCTACTGATGGACCGATATCCGAAGGAAACTGTTTCCGTGCTGGAAAACCTTTGCGCACATCCAGGTGAAGGAGGAAAGAATTTGTTCAAACATGTCACAAGTGTTTTATTTGAAGTTGCTTACGCTCTCCTGTATATTAGCTGAAACAGTGTTCAAACCTCACCTAAATTTTCCATTAACTTTATGTTAAATTGCAGTCCTTTGATTGATAATTTCTCCTTGAAAAAAATCAGTAAAATGATCTATTTCATGGACAGAAACAGAAAAGAAATTTCGTTCATAGAAAGTAGAAAATATTACTCGAAAACCGTAAGGGCATTCTTAGCAATGAGGTGTTTTTTCGTTTCCCTATGCGTAATACTTTTATTCGAATATCCTCATCAAATAACCGACTCGTTACTAACATTTAGTTGACTTACAAGATAAGTGCTTACGTTCACAAACTTGAAGTTTTTTCATTTAAGTAGAACGATCATTTGCAATGTCTGTGTTCCAATTGGGGCGCAAACATTTCGCCGGTGTTTCTTTTATAAGATTATCCTAAGTTACAATTCTCAATTCAGATCAGATTTTCTTTCCTTATTCACTTTGATGTTGCAATGGTGCGCCCCTTCAAGCGTTCTGGTGATGGATAAGTCACACTAAAAAGAAAAGGCGATGCATATCTTACAAGACGAAACCAAGTTTAAACCTGATCATCCTTCAGACGATCCAATGGAATTAGAAAAGTAGGGTGGTGGTGGCGCAGTGGTTTAGTCTCTTTCACCGGCGGGCTTTGGACCCTGTGGTCCGAGGTTCAAGCCGCGCCACCACCGCTCGACTTTGGTGGTAGGCAGCTCTGCTGTCGTCCGGTTCAATACCACGACTAACCCATCAAGGCTTTATGTGGTTCGCCACTCCAAGTGGCGGGGTTTAGGTTGCCTGTTTCCACCACTGAACAGCAGGTCTTCGTGACTATGGGGTTTACCCCGTCTGCTGTTCATCACACATCTGCGTGTGATAAAAAAATATTTTCACGGAACTGTGAACTCTAACTTGGGCGAACCTTGTACGGATATCGCTAATGTAGGGCTTACCGAAGCTACATAAAGAACGCGCTCCATTGCGACCCATTCTAAGAATCATAATCACCAACCCAAATATTTAATTTATTCCAGTTTTGAGAATATCGGTTAGCACAAAAAAGCTTGTTCTTCTTTTATGATCCTAGTTCTTCACCCCTTTTTTTGGCGATCCCGGAACCATTTATTTATTTACTACTGTTCATTCTCCTGACGTTTACCGGTGTTTTTTCACCTTTTTCTATGATGAGTAAACCGAGCAACCGGCATCGTGTGCTTCAATCTGGTCCGCAGACTATTAAATCAATTGCCTGATCCATTAGACCCAGATGGGCGACCGCGCGGTCCAACACCTCTGCCCCCGGGATTGACATTTCATTTTATGGCACTCAGCATCATGTGATGCACGCGCGCACATATCAGATCGGAAATTCCGCTCCTCGGTTATGGGAACCAGTTGTCGAAACCGTTGCATCTGGATCACTGTATCCCACGGGGGCCATAGGATATTTTTTATTATTACACACCAGTATGTGATAAACAGCAGTCGGAGCGGACCCCATAGTTACGAAGATTAGCTGTTCAGTGATCGTAACCGGTATCATAAGTCCCGGTGGTGAACCACATAAGGCCCCGCTAGGTCAAGCATAGTATTGAACCGGACGGCAGCAAAGCTGCCTACCATCAAAATCCGGTGGCGGTGATGGGGTTCGAAGCACGGTAGTGACAGCGAATAAAGCATTGCGCCAACACCACCGCCACTTCACAAGCACTGATAATGTCACCTCGGCTGGTGATGAAAC